TTGAATTCTATGTTGTTTTTTTCACAACGAAAGAGAATGAATAATAAAACGATACTATGGTTACCTAACTTTAATTGAATGTATATTCTATTGAGGTCCCTTCGACTTTGAATATATGAATAGAGAAATTTATATTTTTCATCAATTTCTCGAGAATCAATGTTGATAATTTTATCTATCAATTCGTTATAGATGTCAGGCTTTAGAATATTGAAGTTGTAATATTTACTCTCGTAAATATTATAATTTAAATTTTCATTAGTTATTTGATAGTATTCTTTACCACTCGGAACCCAGTGAAAAGTACCATCATATCTATTTTTCATTAATAGCTCTTTTTGCAATTCAGCTTTTGAATTGTAAAAATCATGAATTATTTTAGAATGAAATAAGATATATCGATTGCTAACAATGGGTATTTTTTCATTTTTTTCATTTAACTCCATAATATCTTCTTGAATATATGCAGGTCTGGTCCAGATGAGATTGTTATAAATGTATGTTTCATTATAATATTTACGAATTTTATGTTTGTTAAAATCATATGAAGGACGAAATTCCAAATGAAGAATATGATCTTTTCTATAAGATCCACTTGCAAATTCTTGTATTTTTGAATGGATTATTTTATCAACTATTTTTGAAAAATTTTTGCTGACGAGTTTTAAATCTATATAATTGAACTCGAGTGAAAGAAAATCCTCAAAGAGAATCTCTAATATGATGTGATATATGTCTTCATTCATTGTAATGATCTTTTGATAAAATTTCAGAATAAATATTTGTGCGTATTTATAATTTATCTAAAGATTTTGATTCAAAATTACCAAACATGGTTAATTCTTTAATTTTAAAATTACCAAATATGGTTAATATATAGTTTAATCACATAAAATAATTTTGAGATTTTGTCTTGATGGGATTGTATTTTGAATGAAAATTATATATATATATAAGCATCATATTTTTGAGATTATTCCAAAGAAATTAAGTTAATAATGTCTGAAAGTTTCAAACGAAGAAATTCTCGTTCCCGCGAACATACGTTTATAGATTTGGGTGATCCAAATGATCTAGAAAAGCAGATCGAAGAATCGATTGTGGTGAAGAGGATATCGAAAATTGATATTCTAAAGATCTTTTTTTTTTTTTTTTTTTTTTTTAAACGGATGGTTTACACCTTTATTCAAATTATATTGAAATAT